ATCTAAATATTAAAACAGAAACATTAAACTTGCTGGAAGGTAAGTTAGGCAGAACTCTGGAAGACATTGGTATAGGAAAAGAATTTATGAACAAATCCTCAGTAGCACGGGAACTAGCAGAAAGAATCAACAACTGGGATCTCATCTTACTAAAAAGCTTCTGTACTTCAAAAGAAACCATTAGCAGAACTAAGAGACAATCTACAATGTGGGAAAAAATTTTTACCAGCTGTACCTCAGACAAAGGACTATTATCAAGGATATATAAAGAACTCAAAACAATCAGTCCCCCCAAATATAAAGACCCGATCCAAAAATGGGCATCCGAAATGAACAGACATTTCTCATACAAAGAAGTAAAAGCAGCAAGAAAATATATGAAAAAATGTTCCACATCACTGGTCATTCGAGAGATGCAGATGAAAACAACACTGAGATTCCACCTCACCCCACAAAGAATGGCTGCTATCAAGAAATCACACAATAAGAATTTTCATTTCTAACAAGTGTCAAAGATGCTATAATGGATGACACTTTGAGGATTACTGTTAAAAGCAGGAAACCTAGGACAGGCCAGCATCTAGGAGAGGTACACCAGATATTAATAGTACTTTTGTGTGCACGGACGTGTGTGTGTCTGTGTGTGTGTGTGTGTGTGTGTGTGTGTGTCCTATAGAGAAGGTAGAGAAGGAACAGAAGTTGATATTGAGGTGACCTGGGATTTATTTCCATACATTTATCACAATTGTGAGAGCCATCTGATTTTTTCTTAAGTGATTAGTCCATGAGAACAGACAAGTCTTTAAAAATAGATCTTCATTTGGGTTGTTTGTCCCTCATATATTTGCATTAGAAATCGGTAATATTTAAATTGGATTTAATTTTAGAGCTCTAACCTTCACTTAGCATGAGACTAAACACAGTAACAACGTGATCTATGAAATCATTTAATGTTTCAACATTCTGGGCAGGGAATTTCTCTCCAGTAGCAAACTATTCCCATACCAAATGAGAGAAGACCAAAGACAGGGGAGATGCTGGACAGAGGCTCAACCAGGCTAATCATGAGATTAGCAGGAGCCCTAACCTACGCCTGGGTGGCTTGAGCAGAAGTTACAGACAGAAGGCCAGATGCCATGATTACGTAGGTTGCAGGTACAGGGATTGATTGTAGATAACCACAATCATCACCCCAAGAAGGCGGGTCTGCTTAAGTTGTAGGATTTTATATTTAGACTGATTTCATTTATTCTAATGATCTTGAATGGAAGGTATGCTGGTCTTAGAGGAACACCCAGCATATTTATAGGCAGCTAGTCTTACTTCTTTGGTTATTCCACAGATTAAAGTGAAAGCTTTTTGTATCTCATAGGAAGCAGGCCAGAGCAGTGAGAGCAGCAAAGTCCATTAGCACCCACTAATGTATAAGATCCATCACATTCTCCTTTCACCCTGCTCCACAACACCCCATAAAACCTGTGTTGCACTTCTATCCCACTCTTGAACGCAGAAGTTCTGTAGTGACTTTCCCGCCCTTCCTCCCTGATGAACTATTCTTCCTTCAGAGCTTTGTTCAGCTGTTACTTCCCTGTGGACATGTCTGACTAGTCTGGACAGATAAAACCAATTTCTGCCCTCTGTTTCCACAGCATGTGAAATACACATCCTATTTATCAAAGTGTACTTTAAATTCTTAGTCTGGTGCTTGTGTTTCCTCAGTTCTAGAGTATCTGCTTTAGGAAGCCTTATATCTTATTCTCCTTTAAATTCTGAGCATCTGGCCCAGTGGCTTATTACAAGGCTTACAAATTTAAGTGGTTCATTAATGAAATAAATGTTAGGGTGGAGGAAGCATCATTTATTCATCCAGTAAGGATGCAAATTGGAAAACATTAGTAGCATAAGAATCTCAGGCACTCTGAGTCGGAGGAAACCTTAGGTATCGTTTGTGGCAGCTACTGACCCTGTGGAAGAGGAAACTTGGAGTTACCTAGCAATGCCAAGTGACTTACTCAGGAATCAGAGGGAATTGGATCCAGACATAGGTCTGTGGCTTCTCTGCCCTTCCACCTGTGAGGTTCAGCCAAACCCCGAGATGCGGAATTTGAGGAACAGATGGGGTCCCCTTGCCTGTGAGTAATGGGGCCAGATAATGCCCACATTATCTTAGCCCAGGGGAAGCGCTGACATCCCCGTGACAGCATGAACGTGGTGTTTGCCACAGAGTCTAACGATTTTAAAGGGTGTTTGAATGTGTTTTACCTCTAGGCCTAACTTTCATAAGAATATTGATTTTTTTTTTTCCTATTAACTTCTAAGGCAAAAAGGACATTTTGAGCAGGTTTGGAAAGGAAGAGGAATGAAAACATCCCAGTCTTCCACTTCCTGATTCCTAGCAGCATGAATCCACTCCAGGCCCTTCCTATCTCCCTGTGCTCCAGCTCCTCTTCGTGGTTGGGGACCTGAGTTGCTGTGATGGCCTTTCAACCTCTGCTTCCACAGCCCGAGACGAGAGCAGACTGAAGGGGAAATGGCTGGGATCCACACTGGAACAGGGCATGATGAGAGGAAGGGATTCTGGAGTGGGAAAGAGCACGCAGGAATAATGAAGGTGTCGTTGCAGAATTGTCTCTACAACAAATTCTGCGATACACATAAGAGCTCACCGGGTGATTCATAAAACATGTCACCCTCCTTCTTACGACCCTCACTCTATTCCTATCTGCAAAGGATTCCGCCATAAGTCCTGGCTATGTCCCTGTGGACCTGGCTTTTAGGCCTTTCCAGCTCATTCCGTAGGTCTCTGCCATTCACGCTTAGTCACTTTAATCTATCTCTACCCGAGGACCTTCGCACTCGCTGTGCCTTCTGCATGGAATTCTCTCATTTCCCTTCATTCTTCAGATCTCAACTTGAGGACTACTTCCTCGGAGAACTCTTCACCGAGCAGCCTTCATACAGTGGTCCCTTGATACACCTTTGGCTCTCATCAGACTCAGCTTATTTCCTTCCTGGCAGAAACAGAATCTGAAGATGTTTATATATGCAAAGACATAAGATCCATGGAAGTAGAGGTCCTCGTCTGTCTTATTTCCTGTGGTGCCTCCAACACCTAGAGCAGTACCTGGCGTGTAGTAGGTGCTCAGGGAATATTGCTGAATAAGTGAAAGAAGCACCTGCATCGATTCGTTTACAGAAGTGACAAGTGAAAGAGGAGAATGCGTCTATTGCTTCTAGAAACAACTAAAATCAAGTCAAATTTTTTCTCACTGTGTTATCTACCAATCCCTAAAATTTGACTTTCAGCATGGCTCTCTGAGAGTCATATCATCACTCAGTATGAGCTCTGGGTTGTGTACCAGGTGATGAGGTCGTCTTATGCATTTTTGTTTGGTTTTTGTCTGGTTTTGTTTTTTATTTTTGGTACCAGGCAGTGAACTCAAGGCCTTGTGCTTATGAGGCAGGCAGCAGAACCACTGAGCTAAACCCCCAGCCCTGTCTCATGCATTTTTATCAAACCATCAACTTGCTCTGAATGGTCATGACTTCATCTTCTTTTTTAATTTTTATTTTTTATTGGTAATGTTTGCAGTACATAATGATTATATTCCTAGTAGGGAGCTCGTACATGTACATAACACATCTTAATTCTTTTTCTCATCCCCTTTTCCTGTCTCAACCACCCTCCCCCCATCTCTTGATTCCCTCCCCTTTTGCAAAATATCTGTCTTCCTGTTTCCTATTATCTATCTTTTATTTTGCTCTTTGTTTATATTTTGGGCTTTTTATATAGTAGAAACCGTGTAGTATTGGCGTAATTTAGCTTAGGCTGGCAGTGTTCGGTCTACACCTCTGTGCATATGTAATGTGCAGAATGATTTCTCCTTGGGTGCAACTTTAGGGTCTGTTGAAGCAGGACTTTGGTATGGGTCTAGGAGTAACTACACCAAGTGTAAAACCAGCCATGATGGCATCCAGTCTTAAATCAAGAGCTTGGTCACAAGTGTAAGAGGAGGCTCCTGTAAAAGCAGGGCCAGCCATCTTGGTAGCTGGATTCTAGCTCTTCCTAGACCCTGATGCTGGTAAATTCCTGGAACTCAGAAAATATGACTTGGCCTGTTAGCACATCCCTCCCCCTGCCCAGGGCACAGATATCCATACATTCGCTGGGGAACATGGTGGAGGGTCCATCATCTAACATCAGCTCTCCTTCTCTACAGAGTTCTGGCCTGTGGTCGTGCAGTGCAGGGGGCTGGATGGCATGCTGGACCCAAGCTCAGCTCAGCGTCTGGGCCCAATAACGGCATTGCCAAGGGAGCAGCTTTCTATCCTGGCCACACTGAGGTAAGTACCTGTTGGGTATCTGCCTCAGCAAAGTTTCTGGGTCTGGAGCTTCCGGGAGCAAAGGCCTCAAGGGATAGAACAGTTGGAAATGACAGGAGGAGGAAAGGGGGTTAGATCCTGCTTAGTGATTCTGCAAATGTGGCCTTCCCAGTCTGTCCAGAAAGGAAGTCCCTCATGTCCTCAGGCCGGCCCCATATCCAGGGACACAGCCACAGAACACAAGACCTCGAGTAGACAGCATAAGTTGGACCCTTCATACATTGCCTAATGGGGCTGTCTCAGGAGGTGACCTCAGAAACAGAAAGTCCACAATTACACTCCATGCTCTAGGCCAGTGAAGCAGGAGAGTGTAGAAAAGTTCTGGATCTGAACCCTGGCAGGCCTGGCTCTGAGTTCCGTGTCCACCAGGCATATGTATTGACCAAGTTTCTTACTCCACCTTTGTCCTCATCTGGAAAATGGGAATATATGACCTACCTCACGGGTTTGTTGTGATGGGTAGAAAATCACATCAAATTAAGTGATGATGGTAGTCCTTGTTTCACCGAATCCACTGTAAGACGTGTCTCTAAGAATTCAGACCAGCTGATTCTGTCCCATACTTGCAGCCAGTGCACCCATCCTGGAGACCAGCTAAGCCACAGGTACCCGTGTGCACTGGTGTTCTTTCTGCATATTTCTATCATAGGCATTTCAAGTGTTTTGTTTGAGCAGCAGACCAAGGGTCCTAGGCTGAGATGATCACAGATAGCTGCATGACCCCGAGTCTCTAGCCTTTTCAAGCCTGTCCTCCAGAAAATTATAGCATCAGCCTAGTTTTGTGGTTCTCCAAATGTGGTCCGCAAGTCAGCCACATCAGTGTTCCCTGGGAACTTGTTAGAAATACAGATCCTCCCACTACTACCAAATCTATAGACTCAGACATTATAGGTGCGGAGCACTGCAGTTGGGTTTAATCATCTCTCCAGTGATTCTGATGCCCTGAAGTCTGAGAGCCTCTAGATTTCACTCACTGATATCTCACTCAGGCCCTGCCTCCTCCAATAAATCCTTTCTAGGAGATGCCAGCACAGGAGCCGAATTTTATTCTGTCCCTTCTCTTTGTGTTCAGCCTAGGACACCTTAGGGATTCCTCCCTAGGGAATCGTGGAGCCACAGAATGCCTCCTGGTCCCAACAGCCAAGAGCATCTGACTTTGGGTTACAACCAAAGGCAGCAGCCAATTTACATTCCGAGCGGAGGCCAAGTGTAAAGGAATAAATAACCCTCGACCCTCTCTCAGAGTGTGGTGAGGGAGGTGGATGAGGCTGTATTTCCTCAGCTACAAGAATTCCTCCTTGTCAACGGTTTGACTCCGGAGCCTGAGAGTCACTGACTATTCTTGGCACCTCTGTCTCCAGGACAGACTGAGTCATCCTACTTCCCTCTACAGCGCACCTCCATGGCCATAGTTGCCAGGCCCTTCCTGTAATTTCGACTTTCTTAGCCACAGATTTCTGGCTATCACTCAGCTCTGTCCAGCAGCTCCACCTCCTATTCAGATGAGGATGGAACTGTGACAATCATTCGGCAAGCACCAGGGATATCTATTATTATTGAAGCGTGTGAGCCCTGGTAATCTGTGCACAGACGGCACTGCGAGCCCAGGAAGGAGCCAGGAGGGCCAGGCAGCCCCTGGGGGCTGGATGCAAAACCATCCTGATGGAGCTCGCCATTCTCAGTCCTTTATCCTGCATCCTGGGTTGGAGCAGAACTAATAAAGAGCACTCACACCTGACATGGAACATGTCCCTTTATGCGAGCCCCTAATTGCATCTTCCCAGCTCATCACTCAGCCCTCAGAGCTGTGCTTGATGAAGCCACATGGAGAGCTGTCATCTGTTCAGGAGAAAAGCTTCAAAGGTTGTTTGTTTCAAAAATAAATAAACAGACTTTCCCCCGGCTTGCTTTAAACAAGGAGAGATATAAGCCGTGCATTATACCCCTAGAATAGAAAGCACATGAGTCATTTATTTTCTTTGTGTCTACTAATGGTTACTTAAAAAAACACTTTCCTAAAAATTTAAAGAGATTCTAGGAACACACTACTCTAAGCAAATCAAGTATTAAAAAAAAAACAGGCTGCTTTTTAATATAAAACCATGGAGACCTGTTTGAGATATTTTCAAATCTAAATGCAACAATCTGTCCATGACTCAAGTCTCCGTTGCCATTAAATGATATCAGGTAGGTATCAGGTGGCAACTTGACAGTGCGTTTAGAAGTAGCATTGGACTCTAGGAACTCTGTGACATCAGTTTAGCAGAAGGAGCAGATAGATGCTAGGTAGAGTAGAAAACTTTATAATATTGTAAAGTTTAAAAATATTAGAGTTGGAAGATATTTTAAACATAATCGGTCAGATGGAAAAGGAAGTTTATCTCCCTGGGAATTAGAAAATCTTTCCAGTGGCAAGACACTGAAATTGAGTGTTGAAAGGATAAAGGATTTCAGTGACAGAGAAGGAGAGCAGAAAGGACTACGGAGGGTAAGAGGAGCATCTCTGGGGGCAGGGGGAGGAGGCAGAGTCTGGAGCAAGGGCCATGGTAGAAGGGCAGGAAGTGCCCCAAGAGCTCATGTTCCTAGAGTGCAAGCTAGGAGAGGCGAATAGAAGGGGGAAGGTCCTGGTGCCAGGCTAGCAGTCTTTCTGCTCACTGGACAAAGGCCCACCACTGGCTTCTTTGAGTGACAAGGTCAAAGCAGGGCTTTGAGAAGCTGCCTGTGGACGGCAGGGATGAGAAGCACTGGAAGAAACAAGTTGAAGATCCAGGATGTCAAGTGGGAGACAGTTCCTACAACCTGGGCTACAAAAGTGAGGATGGAAAGAAAAGTACAGTCTCAAGGAGTGCCACCACAGCAGAGCTAACGTGGCTAGAGAGAGGACAGGGAGGAGAAATGCAGAGTGCAGGGATGAGCTAGGTTTGGGTGCTAGTGGAAGAAGATCTAATGATTCTAATAACAGGAAAGGAAGTTATGGACAAGCACATTTAGGGAGATTGAGATGATGATCACAAGAAATACTAGTGGCAGAACTGCTTTGTAGCTCATCAATTAATCCAAAATGGGGCTGACGCTATTGAAATCAGAAGATAAAATAAATATAGGAACACAGAAGGAGAGAGATATCAACACACTTGATGAAGATCTGGGGTTTGGATAAAAAATGCCAGCATCTGTGAAAAGTTGTCCTCATAACGCTGCAGATTCACAATTAGCTCCAGAGGGGCAGGTAGACTAGAGGCCCAGGTCTGGCATCTGCTCCACAGAAAGCTCATGAACTCCTCAAGAGGATGAGCTGAGCCATGGAGACTGTGGAGAAGGCAATGGGGAGCAACGAATAGATCATTCCTCACTTCCATTAAAACTAAATTTTAGTCCATTTTCCTCCCAACAAGTGTTATTAATTTGGATACAAAAGGATGGATTTCAATTTTTCTTCTTCTCCCTTAATTCACCTGATGAAAGATATTATGTACTTTTTTGAAGAAAGAAATGAAAGCAGAAAAGAAGCAAAAGTCAAAGGCTTGAATTAGGTGCCAACAAATAATGAATTCTTTATGAGTTGGCTGGACATTTATCAGCAAGACCATTGGCCAGCAACTGTGATAGTGGTCAAAGCCCAAATATGCCACCCCCTTCTCTGCATGGCTGGCTGAGAAACTGGAGCAAACAAAATCATTCTACGAAATAACCAAAGAGAAAATAATTTGGTGGTTTCCTTCTTGGTATCTCACCAAAGAGCTATCTGCTTCCCACTGAATAAAAGCACAGTATTGAGAACTCCCTATTTCAAAGCACACTGGGAATGTGGTGGGTAACCCTGTGCACAAAGCCAGAAAGAATCCATGACTAACTATGGTGGAGAGAAAACAGGGGCAGGATTCTCTGGCCTCCCCCATTCCGTTTTTCCCTTTATCTCCTGACAGTCTTTGAGGTCTTACTACATGCAAGATGCTGCATGTGGTGGTGGCATGATTGAAATACATGTCACATGTCTTCTAAAGCACACTCAGGGGGACAGAGAGAAGGCTGTGCAGTATGCTGGGAAAAATGAGAGATACACTCTAGGGTACAGGGTAAGCAGCTATACAGATGGATGCGACATGCCGTCCCTTTCAGGACCTCTCAGGCAGTGGGACACAGGCCAACACTTGCTTTGGAAGAAGTCTGGGAAAGGGAAAGCAGTGTGCTGGGAAAAGTCATGGGTGGAGGGTGCTCAGAGAGGGAATGATCAACAATGGACCTGACCATGACACAGCGAGATCAAAATGACTGCAAATGAACAGACCTTGTGAGAACCCATTTAATCCTAGTAATAACCCTGAGAAATGCATTTATTGCCCACATTTATCAGTGAGAAAACAAAGTCTCAGAAGGAGTAAGTGGCTTTCTTCTTGCTAACAAGTAGTTGAGCTGGATATCCAAAGTTTTTTAACCCTACATCCAACGTGGAATTCCTTTTATTACACAAATGTAGCAGGGAAAAAAACACACAGGCACATACAGATAGACTATTCTGAAGTTCTAAGGTTCAGTTTGCAGTTTGTTTTTATAGTGCTTGGGGTTGAACCTAGAGCCTCACACATTCTAAGCAAGTTTTTATTTTTCTTTTTTTGAGACAGAGCCTCATTAATTTGCCCAGGCTGGCCTCAGATTTGCAATTATCCTGCCTCAGCCTCCCAAGTAGCTGGGATTACCAGGGTGTGCCACCGCACATTGCTAGGAGATCACTTTTGATTGGCGGGATCTGATAAGGCTTCAAAGAGAAGGTGGTCTCTATGCCAAGCTTGAAAAGTAGGTAGGAAGCAAAATGACCTCTGAGAGAGGGCAGGGGAGATGGGAAAAAAGATAAAAGTTAATGAAACACTCTCTAGGGGCACCTCTAATCCCACTAAGGAGAAAATGAGAGGATGTAGGGAGGGAGATTGGGGGAGTGGCATTTTCTATGCATCTACAGGAGTGAACAGGGGCTCAGCAGGGGCAGCTGAAGGTCCCCCAGAGCAGAGCTGTCCCAGGATGACTCAACTCATCTGCACTGCATTGTAGGGCCCTCGTGGGGACAGACAGCTTCATGCCACTTGGTCTTTACTAGCATAAGAGCAAATAGTAAAAAGGAAAGACATGTTTAAGAATGAAAGGTAAAGGGATGGAAGGAAGAACAGACTGGCTTAGTAATCCCAGTGGTGGGATCTAGTTGGCTCTACTTTTGTGACTTTGGCCTGCTCGTTGATCTTCTGTGATCAGTTTCCTTGCATATGAAAAATAGTAATTTCTAACCCAACCCACAAACTATTGAGAAGTTAGAAGTGAACACATATGAAAAATGACAAAACTTCTCCCGAAGAGGGACCACTAGCAGTAGCAGTGTCCTATGTGTGGGTGGTGGTTGAACACACGCATGGAGTTGAATAACACGGTCCGGGAGCCACAAGTCTCTTGCCAAACATGCTGGCTTCAGAATGCACAGCAAGGGCTCTGAGTCACCAGATCTCAGACCCAACTCGGAGCTGTTGTCTGAAGGGGAGTGTTCAGTGCCCAGGCTTTGGGCAGGACATGTCTCCAGCAGCACCTCCCAGAGCCTTTCTGGGAGCATCAAACTGCTGGGCAGGACCAGCACCTTCACATCCGAGACTCAGGTGCCCTGGGCACCCACACTGTCCACCCTCTATTGCCTCGAGGAATCTGAGAGTGATGTTCTCATGCTCATACCATGCTGCTGGGCAGGATTTGAGGGGCTCCATCCCTTCCAAAGAGAGGGTAACCACACACCCAGACCATCTGAGTCAGGCCCATTTTATGCCTGCCTTTCCCCTGTAAGTATTGCTAACAGCCCCTTCATTCCCAGAAAGAATGATTTACATCGGGTCTTCTCGCCCATAAACTACCCAGTGAAAGCTCCTGGGACCCTCTTGGGAGGTCCGCTCTGACCTTTTGCTACCACTTCCCACTTCTCCCTTGGCTAACCCTCCTGTCTTCCACCCCAGGTGCACAGCGTAATGTCCATGTTGTTCTACACTCTGATCACAGTGTTTTTGATCGGCATCCAGGCAGAGCCCCACTCAGACAACCATGTCCCATCGGGAGACGCCGCCCCCCACGCCCACTGGACTAAACTCCAGCACTCCCTTGACACAGCCCTCCGCAGAGCCCACAGCGCCCCGGCGGCACCGATAGCTGCCCGGGTGGCAGGGCAGACCCGCAACATCACTGTGGACCCCAGACTGTTTAAGAAACGGCGGCTCCATTCGCCCCGCGTGCTCTTCAGCACCCAGCCCCCACCCCTGTCCACCGACACCCAGGGTCTGGACTTGGCGGTGGACAGTGCGGCGTCTGGGAACAGGACTCACAGGAGCAAGCGGTCACCCACCCACCCGGTCTTCCACATGGGGGAGTTCTCGGTGTGCGACAGCGTCAGCGTGTGGGTCGGGGACAAGACCATAGCCACGGACATCAAGGGCAAGGAGGTGACCGTGTTGGCAGAGGTTAACATTAACAACAATGTATTCAAACAGTACTTCTTCGAGACCAAGTGCCGGGACCCCAGTCCCGTGGACAGCGGGTGCCGGGGCATTGACTCCAAGCACTGGAACTCATACTGTACCACGACCCACACCTTCGTCAAGGCGCTGACCACGGACGACAAGCAGGCTGCCTGGCGCTTCATCAGGATAGACACCGCCTGCGTGTGCGTGCTCAGCAGGAAGGCGACCAGAAGAGGCTGACCCTCCCGCAGCCCCCGCCC